TGACACGCTGGGTGCGAAAAATGTCACTGGGACACTACGCCGAGATCCTTTTAACTACCGCCAAAGTTCAGACCAATATTAAAACACAGACTGTGATTGAACGACATGCATCTTTTATGAAGAGATTGCAAAGGAAAATACACGGTCCTGTCTGAATCAAACCAGAAGTAAGAAGTTCATTGTGGCACTCAGCATGCGGGGAAATGCAAATGCGATGAAAGCGCAATGTGGCAGTCGAGTGTTAGCTGCTAATGGGGAATCTGCACAGATTTGGCTGGCGCATAATAGCTTGAAAGGACAAGTTCAACCATCGCAGGAAAATTAGCAAACATTCACAAGTGGACGTTTACTGTTGTGGCATTTCTACAACAATTAGGTCTTATATTTTGCAGGCACACATGCAATCATTACCCACCCAAAACTTCCCGAGACTGCCAGATACTGTTGCTCTATGAACAGACAATGTCAATGTCTTAGTATGCTTTTCATCTAACTAACGAAGTCAGTCATATTTTCGTAGATCTAAAATCTGATTTTCATTCATCATTTCTAAATCTCCTGCTAAGAATTTACTACTCAGTCAAACCTCTCGTACCTTTTTGGGGTTTCTGATGTTGTTTCGCACTGTAAGGTACGAGGACTTGGCCTAAACTAACTTCGTAATTTGTTATAAAACGCTACTGTAGAAATTTCTCCTTGAAAAATGAATTCCTTCTCATTATAACGGTTGACGGCAATGAAGCATACAAAGATATAGTAATGTTCACTAAATCATAATCGAACCATTTCGAGTTGGCGATGAGGCGTGCGAAAGTAGAAGACCTGAAAATCCACTACGACGAGATAGAGAATTAAAGAATTGACTTTGCCGCTGCAGGGGGAGTCCATTCACTGGAATTCTTGAGCTACTGGTGTAAAACAGATTCAAATGCATGGCATTAGCGTCGTTACGCCGTCTCCATCCTTGGGATTACTAAGCTATAGCGGAGTTACCAGCCGTCTCTCTTGTTCGCTGGCTTTAGCAGTCGCTGCGATTATAGGTCGATAATGCCCCCCTCCATTGCCATTCCACGGTGCATAGTATTGCCGCCGGTCATTCGTTTCGTTAATGCCCTGGGAGGCTTTAGAANCAGAAAACCTGCTTTCCGACTTCCTCAGCAATGCTCCTGCTCTTAATTCGTAGCCGTACCTGTTCGGGATTAGGGTAAAGCGTTAGGGGTTATGGGTTGAAGTTAGAGTTAGGGGTTGGGGTAAGGGTTAGGGCTTGAGGTGACGGGTAGAGATTAGCGGTTGGGGTTGGGGGTTAGATTGGCGCTTGTCTACTGCAGGTACGGCCACGAAATAGGGCCCGACAGACTTGAGATTTACCGATGTTGCTTTAGCAGAATTACCTATTTTCACCGTTAAAATATCATTTTTCTGTACAAGTACCAGCAGTGCACATACTTGCATTATCGGAGAAACTTAATCACATTAAAGGCAAGCAAAATACTCGAATAACGAATTAAGTGGAGAGATATGAGGGAGATAGTAAGACTCTTTCAAGGTTTATGATTTGGGAAATACAACATCTTGTTAACTGGTAGGTACATTGCAGGACTGTGTAATTATTTACCGCACTGACAACAGAGGTACTAGCTAAAGGTCCAGACACGTGTGTTTTGCCAATCTCGTGCCGCCGCCTGACGCAGCTGTGAGAGATTCGGCCCATCAGTGAGTCCCTCGGCCTTCCCCATCTGTTTCCTGGTATCTGAACTCCTGTTTCACCTTGCCTTGTTGAAGTTCCGAGGAAAGTAATGTGCAAACATGGAGAAAGTCCTTCGAAGCAGACGTTTTCATTCACGGTCCGAAATTTGATGGGAATGTTTGAACTGAAATCTAAGTTCGCGCATCCATTTCCTCGGAAATTAAACAAGACAAGGTGAAACTGGAGTTCGTATACCAGAAAACACACAGAGGAGGCTGGGGGACACACTAGTGAGCCAAACCCTTCGCAGCTGAGTCAGGGAAACACGCGTGCCTAGGCTTTTAGCTTGTACCTTCGTTGTCAGTATGGTAAATAAGTACACAGTTCTATACTACTGGCAGCCCGTTGAATATTATGCGGTTATTCCGCAGTAGCTGATGGATTTCAGCTCAAATATTCATATCGAATTTCAGACCGTGCTTGGAAATGTCTGTTCCGAAGGATTTATTTAAAGTTCGCGCATTAATTTCCTCGGAAATTAAACACGACAAATTTATATCGCAGTTATGCCGAACCTTCAGTCGAATAAAACATAACACATAGTCTCTCACTTTATCGGAAGATGGATGGGTTCACTGAAGTTAATTTAACGCCAGCGGGGTTTTGAGCTGTTGGTTCTTACTATAATAACAATCGGTTAATTAACAACATAATTCATAGGGAGATGACGATCACAGGTCTGAAAGGATAGATAAAGGGCTCTTCCTTTTTCTCCTGCAGCGAAGGCTCAGTGATGAACAAGCGGTGATCGGGGATTGCAATGACCCAGTCCCCGGCCTACCTGTCGTCGATAATCAAATATGTCCTAATTTCAGGCGTTGTAAAGAGAAGCTTTATGCAAACTTGTATGCACACTTTGACCCACAAGTTGTTAAATTAGATCAGCGAGCTCATCCTCCGTTGGCAGCAATTGAAAATAGTCGAGTAGTTTCGTGTGATTGTCCAACCATTGACCGGACTGACGTCTTCTCAAAACCCTACTTAACATTGCAGCAGAGATAACTGAGGACGACAACTATCTGAGCAGTGGTAATTTTAGTCGCTGTCCTCTGGTTTGGTACTAATGATGGGTTAAACGCAAGTATTTCAGAATTTATGGGGTATTCCTGAAGGATTCGCGAAACAAATAAGCGATAGCAAATGTACTAAACCTTGTTTGACATATTTGACAAAAGCTCAAAAGTTAAAGAAAAATAAAATCTTGGATTTGAAATAGTTTAAGTACTATATGTGACGACTGAATTACGCACGAAGACAGTCGTGAAGGGACGAATATTTATTGGTTGGAACATTTACCATAACTTTTCTACTTTAATGATGTTTGTAAAAACGATGTATCCTTTGTTCGCTGACGGTATCTGTGATATATATTGGATACTTTGGAATGTTACCGTTCGACATGGTATGGGAAACTCGGTATCATTAGTATCTGCGCGTACGTACAGGCCAATGAGTCTCCTTATATAAAATATTCGACTCTTGGGGAAATTGTCGAAATTTCAATGTTAAAAATTGCAACTATATACTCATGGGTAAAATTTTATGTGGCAGAAATAGTTTGATATTAAATGGCACGCTTCCGCATACGTTTAATGTGTGTTAGGGAGTTTGTCTGAGCAACCTTCAATGAATATTCGAATAAACATTATGACTTTCTTAAGCCGCTGCCTTAATCATCCTAGTGAAGGTTTCCGGAAAAAAACCTGAGATGACATGAGCACCGGCAGACCAGCGTATACTACGAAGCCTTCTTGAAAAGACATGCTTGGAGTACAAGTTAAGCACTACAGTAACAAACAGTTGCCTAAGTGGAAGGGTATGGGAGACGGGGTCATGGGCGCACTAGACAAAACCTGCCCAGTCAACCAAGATACCGGGATGAACAGAGGCTAATGACGATTAAACGAACCGCTAATTCTTTAAAGAAAACATGTCGGAAACCAACCAGAGTTTCATGACAGGGACGGCACGGCATCTTTTAAAAGAAGATTAATGTGAAACCGCCGCAGGAGGGCGTGCCCTACGTCTTGGTTTAGGGCAAGCACTGTTTGTTAGGAGTACGTACATTCAGCACCCAATTAAGATCCTTTTTATGAAAAAGAGAGCAAGGTTTTTGAATTAATTATCATGTCTCATAACTCATTATCTAGATGTCGTCCGCCTAACTAATGGTTTTAAATAGTTTGTAACGGTTATAAGCCTGTCGAATTGGTTTTGTCAACCAAATGAAAAAAACCAGGTTCTGTAACTGACTTAAAAAAGGTAGAATAAAGGTAGACAAAAACTTAGCCGGACCACCTGAGCACAATGCTTTCCATCCGCCTGCAACTTTCTGAGGCCATACTACGGAGAAAATATGCCAAAACTGAATTTTACATGGTCTCAGTAAATGTACGCTTCAACCCCCTGTAATTCCTACAGTTCGAAGGATTACGAGGTTCGGGAAGTTAGGGCTGTGTTTCTGTTCATTTCGGACAGTAAATGTGTGATAAGAAGTAGAAGCGATCGCTGTAACAAGGGCTTTATTCGCCTGACGTCTCGG